TGAATCACAAGATGACATGGATATTAGCGATGATGATAGTGTAGGCCTAGCTAGGCCTAGTCATGATAGTGATGATAGTGAAAGTGTGCATAACACTAGCACCAACGACAGTGACAGTGACAACTTTCAGCCTGTACCAAATCGGAGACGGAATGTCAGAGGGCGTGGTCGTGGTCCTGTCCGTGGCCATGTGCAAGGTGGACTTATAATTAGACAGAGAAAGTCTCAAGGATAAAGAATATATATACTTTTGTATATTTTTGAAAGCCAATTAAAAACTTATAACGCTTTGTCTATATATCTCCTATTTTCCCCAAATTTCCTGCATTTTATTCCGTCCAGATATGGGAAATATGGAATAGGAAATTACGTAGTGAAAGAGTTAATGCTGGTTTTGGGATGGCAAGCCTCTTATTGGTCACATTGCATATGTGGCTAAGTGATAAGGCAAATGGCTTCTATTGTAATAATATTATGCTGTTAACATCCTATGTATACATTGATGAGACTTTTAACGATTAAGAAATAGTTTATGTATTTTTATTATTTATTTATTTCTCAGAATCGAAAAGAATTGAGCGAAGTGGTGGATACAAATTCGATAGCACAGCAATTCCAGCATCTTTCAATTTTGGAAACAGCTAAACCATTCTGCTCGCTAACCCATCGTACATCAGTTTTCTAGATAAATTAATAGTTACATAAGTATAAGGAAAGAATTGCAGTATTCAATTCTTGCACTAATAGGTGACTAAACTTTATGCAAGTAGACACGTTGTGTCCGATCCAAATGTGATGATAACTCCACAGTGTGACCAACACATTTAAAATGACTTAAGTACTAAAAAAAAGGTTTGAGTATGTTGATGTAGAGAAAATATACAAAGGTTCATGGTATCATTATATACAAGTCACATAAATTTAGGAGCATGATGATGTCAAATGTATTGTTTATCATTTGTTACTAGGCAGTGGTGGATGTGATGCACTGCCTTATCTGGTAGTCCTTAAGATGAAGTGATCACTTGCCAGGGCATATGTCTAAGATATGCCATCATAATCATTGAAATGAAGTCATGGAATGTGCCTAAGAGTTGCATCTGTCTATCAGTGGAATAAAGATCTCTTCTGGTATGGCATGTCTCAGATTTGAGCTGCATCATAGTCAGACACTAACATAAAACACTCAAGTGGTTTAATTGAAAAAAAAAAAATTGGCATATTCTAATCTATGTATGGCAGACATGTACCTTGTTTTACAAATCCAACACCCAATGATCATGATCATTTCAAATAAAAAATAATTTATTTCTGTTTTGACACTGTCCATGAAAAAAAGTTAACTAAAAATGTGTCAAGACATAGCAGCTGCCATAAAACCTCTCGGTGACAAATATATTTTTTCTTTGACAATTGAATATAAATTATTTATCAATCAAATTTCTGGATTGGCTACATCGCAACAATCCATTCCTTATATTACCATGTAATTTCAGTTGATGGACTAAGGGCCCCTCTTTTACTTTTTTTACCTCCACATTTATTCATAATTTTTTTTTTTTTTTCTCTGGATTGATGCTTTCAACCCACATCTAAAGATTGTTCACTAAACTAGGTATAAAGGAGTCTTGCCTTTAAATTATCACATGAATGTAGAATAACTTCCTGGCAATTTTTAAAACCGCATATATGATTCTTAGTCCTATTTTTAATGCTGTAGTATTTCACCATGAATTTTGCATACCATATTTGTTAAACTGAAAGACACCGAATTCAATAAGGGAGAGAAATGTTTGTCCCTGATGCTTATTTATGTTCATGTTTGATAATTATTTATGCTCGTGAATCAAATGGAGGCCTTGTTGGCATGAAGCACCATATAAGTTATGTAAGTAGCATATTACTGTATGTTCAGTTTATTTTGTGAAATGTTCAGCTTTATTTTATTTACAATTATTTTATGTCAACATGAAAGTGATTGTCTTGCTTTGGATTATGTGTAGATGTGTAAATGTAAAACTGATCATGAATTTCAAATTCAGAACTGTTGTTTAGCTGGGGAGGGGTAATTTTACCCCCAGCAGTGAATGCAAGTTCTGAATATGTTGAAATGAGTTGCCAATATATATTACACAAAACTGTGAACTTTAAACTTGTTTAAGATAGTATAATACATACTCCAAGTATCAAAATGCACACCTTCGTGTCGGGATTCAATATTTCGACATTAATTATGTCATCCTGATGATGACATAATTAATGTATATTAATGTAAATATTGAATCCCCACACGATCGCGTGCATTTCGATACTTGGAGTATGTATTATACTATCTTATCTGTGATTATTCAGTGGACCTTTCAGTTTTTAAACTTGTTTTGTAGAGGAGACCAGGAGTGTTATTGTGTAAGTATATTAAGGTTTTGTAAAATATTTGTAAAAATCGTTTAAAACCTACCAAAAATGAAAGATATGTTTTGCCTATGTTTTTGCTTGGCAGCATAATGCTTTATTAAGAAGGCTTGGAATAAGAACATACTTAGCAAAGGGTTCTGTTAGGTATGGGTGTGGTGTAAGGGTTATAAACTCTGGCTGCCTTATGATCATACTCTTTTGTAAACATTAGAATTTTAAAAAACAATGTGTTCTCATTAAATCTAATAAGAATAGTCATCAAAATATTTGAAAATTTGAATTTTCCATATAAACATGTGTCTGGTAAACATTTGCTGATAATTATTTGTTTGTTTATTTTGTTGAATTCCTCTGGTATGTTGCCAAACAATATTTTCCAATTAATTATATTATTTATAAATATTATTACAATGTACTCTCAGAGTTTATACTAATTCTAGAAAATCCGAACTCTGATAATGTCAGACCTTATTTAGCCCAGTTCGATACTTTCAAAAGTAATATTAATAAATTTGACATTTATGGATAATTTGCGTCTTTTGTAAGCTTGTTTGCATAGGTTTGTATAATTTTGGTACTCTTCTGCCTTCTAGCGATGATGACGCCTTAGTAACAAATAGAAATAATTGAGAGGGCGTCCTAGTTGTTACTATGGCGGTTGTTCCAGAATTTGCACCGAGATCATAGATGTCAAAGTTCAAAGTAATTGTAATTGCAAGAGGGCTTCCTACAGCGGAGAACGCTATCTTATAAGATCTTTGATTTAGTGACGGAATAAAAAAAAATCCAGTATGGTATGCCAATTAAATTTGGTATGGCGCGCACTAAGCACATTAAAGAGAGTAGCCCAAAATTAGGACCAGGCCCGGGATTTATCAATCTCAGCAATAGCAAATGCCTTTAAGTAAAAAAAAAAGTCCTTAAAGCAAATAACTAAAGCTGATTTATCAAACCATCTTAGCAAAATCTTAGCCTAAAATCGTCTTAGATAGTTCACGTGCGTACAATCGACTTTTAATTTTAAGCAATTTTTAAGTTAAGGCAATAGATTTGACAACAGAATGGACTTAAGATGAAGTTAAGCTGATTTCTGGTTTGATAAATCCGGCCCCTGTAGCACAGGCTAATCCGGGGTGTTATCCACAGACATTTGATAGCTCGATATCAATTCTGCTTTAGGTAATGTGTATATTTTTCTCCTCATAAATGCTACTTTTCATGTCATTTAAATTAGACGTAATTTGTGTACATATTCATACCTACTATTGTTTAATGATGGGGAAACATTGTGATGATGCAATTAAAAACTGTACACAGTTTTGTATAGTTATGAATGATTGATTTCAACAGTGATAGAAGTATGACTCTGGGACCGAAATTAGTTTTGCCACAGTCACTAACAAATAGTAAAAAAAATCAAGTATCTCAACAAAAGTAATTAGAGTATAAAGTTTATACTGTGTTCAGCTGATGAATAAAAAGGAAAACTTAAATTTGTAGCTTTTGAAATTGAGAACAATACCAGTTAGCCGACGCACAAAATAATAATACTGCTCCTTATAGATTGGAAATAGATATTGAATCTGAAGTTCAATATAAAAAAGTAGTTGTTTCAATCTGTATTAATGGAGGTTGGTAATTGATCCTTGATAAGCAACTGAGTGAGTGTAATGCTAAGCCCCAATCCACATGCTTGGGTATTGTTGCTAATGTAAGGTGAAGCTTGTGAGACACGCACATATTCCTGGCCCTGTTGTATATACTTATTATATACACTAATTTAACGCTGTCTCTTATACACATCTAGATGTGTATAAGAGACAGCATATATATATATATACATACATAAGTTAACTGGACAAATGGATGGGAGTCTATGACGCACGTTTCACGCTATCACGATCCTCAGATAGACTGATTGTTAGCACATATACTGTCTTACATACAAAGGTGTTTTGCATATTAGCCATGATCAGGTGGAAATGTTGTATGCCTACATTTAGATACCAGTTCTGACCTTTTATTAAGTAGGGTTGTCTTATTAGCATTAAGGATAGCTAATTTTTCGTCCATGCAAAGTTTGCAATTACCAAACGCTGCGCTTTTTACGGATGAGCGCTTTACTATGTTCCACTCTATTTTAAATTTGGTATTCTCATTTTTTAGTTTCCATACATATTTAGACAATTCAGATTCCTTTCCGTATGATTTATTATTGAATGGTTTCTTGTGGTTGTTAAACCTTGTCTTAAATTCTCCCCAGTCATACCAATATAACGTTTTACTACATTATTATTAGCCAGGACATCGGCCGAATATATGATCGACTTCACCAAACATGAACCTTTCAGCGGGCATTCGCCTTTATTACGGCAATTACACGTGGGTTTATCGTCACACATTTTTTTTTCTTATTATTCATACTCAATATCTTATTGTTATGTTTGTTTATAGCTGCACTTCTCATACTGGGCATACAACTGTAACTTACTTTAACAATATTTTATGCAGTGCATTTCCCTGAGGAAAATGCTTACTAACAAGGTTTAAAAATGACTTTGCAACATTAGTTTTAATGGGGAAATGCACTAATTCAAACCACCTTTGTATGTAAGAGAGTAGTATGTGCTAACAATCAGTCTATCTGAGGATCGTGATAGCGTGAAACGTGCGTCATAGACTCCCGTCCATTTGTCCAGTTAACTTATAGATGTGTATAAGAGACAGATATATATATATATATATTTATATATATATATATATAAATCATCAAAAAATATTGATTTATATATATATATATATATATATATATAATTAATTTAAAGCATATGATGCACCTTTTCCACTAATGCGTGTCCCAGGTTGGATAGTGTTGCTGAGGTTTCACAGCGTAACGTCCCATTTTTGGGACAAGCACGTACTCTCTGATTGGTCAGTTTGATACTCCGGAAATGTCTATTGTAAGAGAAAGTTGTAACTTTTTGATGATACTAATAAGATAGATTCGTTCCACGAAACATTAAAGTTTCACAATAATCAAAGCACAAATTCTAATACTGTAAGTATTTTTTTTATTTACAATGAATTAGAATTTGTGTAGAGGTACTGAGGGCGCACGTAGGGTGTTGGGCATTATAGTATCACCAGGTGCGCATGTTCTCATAATAGCAAGATAAGCATTGGAGCGAAATAAGAAGATGAATTTGTGCAAGGCACACATTTTTAAAATGTACGTACGTGTAAATAAGTACAGTGCACAAGAAACAGCTACTTTTAAAAGTTTAAATTTATGGTTAAAATAACTGGAAAAACTCAAACTTAACAATCTTTGTGCGATGATAGAAACTACAATAGGCGAGGCAGTGATATCTACACGAACGATACAGCATTTATCCAAAGTTGTTTATTTTGTTTTTTTTGTTTTTTTTGTTTTAAGGAGCGGCGGTTGGCCTAATATACGTCTGGCGCTGGCCGAATAACCGTTAGTAGATGCATAGGGTTTGCAGGTTTTGAGCAGTAAAGTGCTACTAAACGACGGCGACTGCAATACTGTATTATTATTTATGTATGAATACAGTTTTCTGCTACTGCAGTAGTAAAAACATCCTGCATTGGCAATCAGTCCTATTATATTATAATCCACTGTGTCTTATCTTCAGCGAGCATCCTGTATTATTATATACTACCCTTCTATTAATTCCGTGTATATATTTATTATATCAAATGTTATCTCCTAAACCTGGATAATATGCACCATGCTGACATCTTGACGTGATAGTTTCCCGTCGAATACAGCTGTCATACCTGCATAAAAACAAAAACAAAACAGTTGGAAAGTGTATCATGTCTCGTGATTGCTGTGTGAATAGCACTAATTTAACGAGCAGTGGGTATGTATAAATGGACTACAAACTACGGGATAAGTTCTGGATGTTACCTTCTTGGACTGTATTGTTTATGTAACGTGTGCGCTTGCGTCATAGCGTGTACGTGTTTGCGTATATGAATTTGTGTGCACCGAAGTGTGACTTATCGTTCCCAATAAACCTACTGACCAATCAGAACAGGGCCACCTAGGAATAGTACGCATATATTCTACAAAAACACATGTCCCACGAGCTTGCGTATGATTTCACACTGTTGTTTTGTTGGGCGAGGCTTAGCGGAAAAGACCATTTGTTATATGCTAAAGCAGCAGTGTATGACATTATTTTCAAATTTAAAATTTAAGCTACAAATATTGTTATATAATGATAATAACAGTACTAACGTCCGATTGTGATGTATTATCTTGGACGCTGTTGTTTTTCACAGATGAGCAGCATTTTTTATCGCCGCAATCCAAATCACTACATCCTATGATACAGACCTTAGCAGGATGAACGACCAAAGCATTTTCACTCTATTACAAAAAATAAAATAGAACGCAGAATTGACATGATTGAATTAAACTGAGAGACCAAGTCGAATTAAAAACAGTTAATATATTTATTTGAAGACAAATACATTTTATAAGAAAAAAATTAATAAAACATAAATATGAAAGAACTAAATAAAAAGCAAAGACAGTAGGCCTATACACACACACACACCAGTAGTTTTATTATTTTAATTGTACTGTACTGTACAATATTTTTCAACAGTGAAGAAAAAAAAACTATAAGAGAAAACAGTTTGCACTAAAATAGTTTCAGGAAGAGTGTCTAATTCAAGGGGTTACATTTACTTTTTATAATGTTTCAATCTAATATTGTAAGTATGTTTACTACACTGTCTTTTAATGCATTGTTTTTACCAAAACCCGTACATCGGTGCATGCGTATTGGATATGGCTAGTTAGTGCGTTACGTAGTGGTGAACGTAAGTCTTTTAATGCATTGTTTTTACCATAACTCGTACATCGGTACATGTGTATTTGGATATGGCGAGTTATTGAGCAATAGTGCTCTGTGCTCTGCTATAAAGTTTCGCTCAGAAATATTTACTTTTTTATGCACATATAATTAACTCGTTGCTTTAGATTCCTGAAATATTTGTAATTTTTTTAAGACTACTTTAAAACTGTTGGGTCTTCTTTGAAATGAAGCAAAGTTACTGAAGTGTGGCTGTGAAATATATGTAATGTATGTATGTAATTAGATTTATATAGTGCATAACACCGGGGTCTCTATGCGCTGATACAACAGAAAGCAAAAAAGAAAACTAAACCATTGATCTATTCTAACTAACCATAAACAAAAACAAAAAAACAAAACAAAACCAAAACAAAACAAAACAAAACAAAACAAAACAAAAACAGACAAGCAGACAAGATCATTCCAACCATTCTCCTGCAGTTTAAATAGGCTACTACTACAAAGCAGTAGCTTGCAGGCTCATAATTCACAGGTGCGCAACATTGAATTATCTTTCACCATATGATTTTAAACGGCATGTCGGAACATGTAAACTAGTACCTGTTATTGATCAAAGAACCTGGCCGCATTTATTCGATCGCAATTAAGTTTATGAGGTCAGAAATGTATGATGGAGTTTGACCATGTAATGCTTTGTTAAACGATAGAGAGAATTTCAAAAACAATCCGTTGTGAGACCGGCAGCCAGTGAAAATTCTTGAGCACCGGAGTAATCAGTGTGACCACTGCTTGGGTTTTGGGTTCTTGGGTATTCCGTTCAAATCCTTGGGTATTTTATTTTTACTAAGAAAATTAAATATTTTTGTCAAAGAGGAAGAATTAAGAAGTAACAAAGTATCTGTCAGTCCATTCAAGTAAACAAAACTCAACGAAGTGCACATAACATTGTTAATTGACTGTTAATTGCTATAAACATGGGTTCAGAATTGTTTATTTGTGATTTGCGTTGCCATTGATCTTACCTAATTAATGCATTACATAATAAAGCTTGATCACTGATCTACTGATAACTCTGGCCGACTGAGGGCGTATTTTTCTATCTGTATTATCACCTCATGAATATTAATTTTAATAATTAACACAAACAATTAGAATAAAAAATGGTTTATAAATTGAACTAAAAGGGAAACTATACATACTAAAAACACGTGTTTTTTTTTTTCAAATTTCAATGCATTTTCTGGATGCTTGGGTAATTTTGGGCAATTTCTGCTGAATCTTGGGTAATTTCGACCCAGTCATTGGGTATATAAAAAATTGTGAGTTGTCACGCTGGGAGTAATACAGTACAGTGTGACTGAATCTAGATGTACACTTCAAAAGGCGAGCGAGCAGCTGAGTTTAGCTGAAGCTGAAGTTTTGAATTAACTTGGTAGGCAGGCCATAAAGTATGCAGTTGATCAAGTCTAGTGGTTATAAGAGCATGCACAATCTTGTGTGTCGCATCCTCAGTAAGGAATTTGCGAATGTTTCTGATGTTTTTCAGGTGGAATGAGATCGACTTACACATATTGCTGACATCAACGTCATTGAGCTGTCAAAGGTCACTGATATTACGAACAGCACAAGTAGTTGTAACAATTAAGTCACTAGGTTCTGACAGACGGGCGTTGTAGTATTGAACTTAGATTGGATCTGGAGTACCTCTGTCTTCTTGGTGTTGAAAACAGGCCATTAACAGTAAGCCACTGATGTACAATTTCAATACATTTTTTCCATTTTCAACTTTGCCTGAGTAAGTCCTTCAACTTTGGGTTTAAAACTAATGTGTAGTTGTGCATCATCCGCATAATGGTGTGGTAATCCATTACGTGATGTTTAAATATCATGCTTAATGGAGAGATGTAGACAAGAAAAAGCAAAGGACCTAAGGTTGATCCTTGTGGTACACCAGATTCATTGTTGAGGTATGGCGATAATGTGTTTCTTATTTTCACAGTTTGCTTTCTCGAAGTCAATTAAGAACGAACCCAAGAGAGAGCAATACATTGTACACCAATAGAAGATAAGAATTGAATGGCTCAAAGTATCAAATGCTGAGGATAAATCAAGAAAGACATAAAATGCAGTATCCCCTATCAATTTGAATGATAAGAAGATCATTGTGTACTTTTAGTAAATTGCTGTTTCAACACTGTGTAGCTTTCGATAGGCAGACTGAAGTGGATCATAAAATCCATGTTTGGTGAGGTAGACGTGCCAATTGAGCTGCTACGACATTTTCAATTATTTTTGAAAGGAATGAAATATTTGACACAGGACGATAATTGGAAAGCACATCAGGATCAAGAGAGGGCTTCTTGAGAATTGGTCTGATAATTCAAATTTTCAGCTTGCTTGGAAAAATATTGTTTGAAAGAGATGTGTTAATTGTGTTTCGATATATTGGTACCATAGTGTCTAAAAGGGACATCATGTATCTTAGTAGGAAAAGGATCAGCGTCACAGCATTTATCTGGCATGGACTTGGTTAGTTGAAGACATCAGCATCATCAACAAGCGTAAACTGTTGAAAATTATGATGGCATGGAAATGCTCAATCGCTTAATGAACTTCCTGAAGTTTTTCTCTTAGCTTTGTGACTTTATCAATGAAAAAGCTGTTAAACGTATGTGCAAGTTGCCTATCATTATCAACCCATGGCAATACTTCTCCATTGCTCTTACCAAGAAGCTTATTGGTAATTTGGAAAAGACGCCGTTGGTCGGATCCGCAACCCTTAACAAGGGCCATAATGTGCAGATTTAGCAGAAAAGAGAATTTGATGGTATTTCTTGCATTACTCTTTGAACTTGAGTTGGTCGCGCGTTAACGTGCTTAGATTTGAGCCATTTTTTTGCGCTAAAATGCTCGTTGTTTCCGCTTGTCCTCACGGTAACTATGGTCAAATATTGTGAATTGGAACGTGTAATAATAGTCTTGATTTTCTCAGGTGCTAAATCATCACGAAGACTTGTTAGAACGCTATAGTATTAACAACAAATTCTATGTCCCTCATCAGACAATCCTGATAAAGATACAGAAATGGAATCGTTGACTACAGAGGCATCAGTGTTCCTGGGGTTTCTAAATATAATTTTGTGCTTTTAATTATTAGGAGGTTTGGTTATGTCCAATTCTACACCTACATTGAAATGGTCAGACATGTAATTGTCACAATATTTAGGATATTTCATTCTACTTTGCAGCACTGCTAACTGAATCGTGAACTAATGAATAATCATAGTTGTATGACTCAAGTTAAAACGGTCTGTGAATGGAAATAAGTTTCATGAATA